CAATATTTTTAAGTCTTAAGAGCGCTAATTATTTATATATAAATTAAATAAATTAGCGTTTTTAATTTAAAATTTAAGTATAAAATAACTATTTTTAAATTAAAAAGTATAATTTTAGCCTATTTAAAACTAGCTTATACGTTTTTTTTATTTATTAAAATAAAAAATGCTATTTTAAAAATAAAAAAAAGTCGTTTTTAATAATATACGTAATTTATATTTATGTTATTTTCTTAATTTTTTTATTATATAAAGCTTTTAATAAATTTAAATAAATAATATTAAAAAACTAAAGCTTATATAATAAATAAGGAGGTATATAAAAATAATAATATTATACTTTTTATAATAGTTATTAAATTTAGTTAATTTATAGTTATTATATAGTGGTTTTTTTTTAGCTTTATAGGCACAAAAAATCGACCTTAATAAGATTAGGTTTTAAAAAAAGATTATATAATATAATATATTTTTTAATTATGTAGTACGTATAATATGCCCTAAGTACGTACTTAACTTAATATAGTGATTTTAATACGAAAACCGCTATATAATTTGGAATAAATAAGCTGCTACTACTTATTAATAATAAGCTAAGCGATATATTTACGTAGTAGCGCTAGTTAGAAAGGTTAATTATAAAGGTTAGCTATAAAGGTCGGAGGCGGCCTTTTTTAACCGCAGAGGTTCTAAACTTTAATAGTAACGTAAAGGTTTCCGGAGAAAGGGCTAAAAGGGCCATTTATAATTATTATAATTATTAAAAATAAGGAGCTACTTAATACTTTTTATAAAAGACTTTATATAATTTTTAAAATATTCTAACTAATCTAGGCCGATCTTATTTATAATTTATTTATTTTTATTAAAATAAGTATATTATTTAAGGGGGAATTAGTTATTAATATATGATAAAAAAATATTATTTTTAATAATAATATATAAAAATAGTACTTAGCTATTTATATATATACCCTAAATAATAAAAACCTATTTATAATTACTAAGTTATTTTATATAAAGCCTTTTATAATAATTAAAAATTATAATAATCTTTATATATAAAAATATTTTTATTAAAAAGCCTATTTTATTAAAATTATAAATATTATTCTTATATATATTATATTTTATAATCGTATTTTATATAAAAGTAAACTAAGCTTAAATAATTATAAAATCCTTAACTAATACCCTTTAATAGTTAATTTTATATTAAAAACGTGTTTTTAATTATAATTAGCGTTATATAAAGTTGTTTTATTTCGTATATTATTAAATTACAATAAAAACCCTTAATTAATTAAGTTAATAACTCGTTTAAAATTTTTAATTCTTTTTGAATTCGTATAAGTTTTATATTAAAATAATAAACTAATATAATAATTAAAAAATATTATTTTTAGGACGTTATAAATAAAAACTATTTTTTATATAAATAATTTAGGTCTTTTTTAATAACTTAAAATATAAAATAATATAATTTTTATTTAAAAAAGAACTTCTTTTTTTTATAATAACTTTTTTTTATATATAATAATAAGTATAAAAAAAAAGTAAATAACTTATTATAATAAATAACTCGCTATATAAATACGTTAAGTAGTTCTTAATATTATTTATATAATATTAAAATATTATACTAATAAATATTCTTATTATCTTAATAACTTATTTTTTATTATTATTTCTTTTATAAAGTTTATAATTACGGATTAATAAAAAAGTTTATAAATATTAAAATAAATAAAGCTCGATTTTTAAATAATTAAAAATAATAAAAAATTAAGAATTTTAATTAATAATTAAGTATAGAGCGTAATTTACTTAGTTTTTTTTTAATACGTAATATATTATAGTACTAAGCGCTAGGCCCCTATGCGCTCGGGCCTTAGGTACTAAACGGACCCCCTATAGGTTACGTAACTACTAGACCGCTAAGCCCAAAAGCCTAGCGCCCTAAATTCCGCTTACTAGTCTACTTTTTCCCTCCTTACGTTAAGTTACGTCTATTAGGTCAATATAAGCAGCGTTCCGACCTGCCTCGAGTTCCCTTTCGTGATATAATATACGGTACGGCCCCGGCGGATTGCTCCGTTAGGGGGATAAGTACGTTATAAGTAGAGATCATAGCGAGTACTCCCGTCGCGGCTAATCGCGCCTTAGTGCGGGAAATAACAGCATAATAAAGGCAATGACCTAAGAACGTTGGGGGTCGCCGCTGTAAGAGTGGAAAAGGTCCTCGATTTAGTCATATATCGTCGGCCACACGCCGCTTTATTTACATTGCGATAATACCATTAGTTACCTAGATGGCCGGATAGTAATCCCTGCCCCAGTGGCCAACTATCCAACAACTTTCCCCTGCCGCTTTATACTGCACCGCTATCACGTTGGACGTGCGTATTTCTCAACGCGAAAACCCCGGAGATGAGATGTTCCAAGCGAAAGCAGCGACTGATCCCGCTCCACCCTGGTGTGGCCCAAAAGTACCTGTCAGCCACGAAAAAAATCGGAATGGCCGAGAGCTCCAATTCCATCCGAAGCGTGCACAGCCGTAGCCCGTCCAAATTCATCCGCCCATCCACCCGTCGACCCTCGCTTGCCGTGAATCGCCGTTCATTAACAGCCCGGCGCATTCTATCCCTCTCCATCATCACTGTCATCTTCCTCTCGTCACTACGTCCGAGTATCCATCGGAATAGGCCACCATGCTCTCCAGTCGATTGATACCGCGCGCTGCAGCCAAGTCGGTTTTCAGAAAGCCCTCGTAAGGGACCCTGATAGCAGAGCCTCACTCTTTCCAAGCTGATAGCTCTTTGTAGACTCCCCGCCGTTGCACCCCAGCTCTCCAGATGGAGCCGTGCCTACGCCTCGGCCTCTGGTGCGTTGATTATACCCCGGATATACTCCTTGTGACGCCACTGACTCGGTTAACAGAAGAGAACGATCTCGTTGTCATTGGCGGTGGCGTTGCTGGCTATGTTGCTGCAATCAAAGCTGGTCAAGAGGGCCTGAAGGTTGCCTGTATCGAAAAGCGAGGTACTCTTGGTGGAACATGCCTCAATGTCGGCTGCATTCCCTCAAAGGCACTTCTCAACAATTCCCACCTTTACCACACCATCAAACACGACACCAAGAACCGCGGAATCGATGTCTCGGACGTCAAGGTCAACCTGGAGCAGTTCATGAAGGCCAAGGACACCGCCGTCGGCGGCCTGACCAAGGGTGTTGAATTCCTTTTCAAGAAGAATGGCGTCGAATACATCAAGGGTGCTGGCACCTTCGTCAACGAGAACGAGATTAAGGTCTCTCTCAACGACGGTGGTGAGACCTCCGTCAAGGGCAAGAATATTCTGATTGCGACTGGTAGCGAGGCTACTCCCTTCCCTGGTCTCGAGATCGATGAGAAGCGCGTCGTCACCAGCACTGGCGCGCTCTCTCTCGACAAGATTCCGGAGTCACTCGTTGTCATTGGTGGCGGCATCATTGGTCTGGAGATGGCCTCTGTCTGGTCCCGTCTCGGCTCCAAGGTGACTGTTGTGGAATTCCTTGGCCAGATTGGTGGCCCCGGAATGGACGCCGAGATTGCCAAGAGCTCTCAGAAGATTCTTAAGAAACAGGGAATCACCTTCAAGACGGGCACCAAGGTCCTGAGCGGCGACAAGAGCGGCGATAAGGTCAAGCTGGAGGTTGACTCTGCCAAGGGTGGCAAGCCGGAGACGGTAAGACTTGGCCCGGAAATCGAATTGGTATAAGATGCTAACCTGTTCACTAGCTCGATGCCGACGTCGTCCTTGTCGCGATTGGTCGTAGACCTTACACCGGCGGACTGGGCCTGGAGAACATTGGTCTCGACCTCGACGAGAGAGGACGTGTTATTATCGATTCCGAGTACCGCACCAAGATCCCTCACATCCGTTGTGTTGGCGATGTCACCTTTGGCCCCATGCTGGCGCACAAGGCTGAGGAAGAGGCTGTTGCTGTCGTCGAGTACATCAAGAAGGGCCATGGTCACGTCAACTACGGTGTCATCCCGTCCGTCATGTACACCCATCCCGAGGTTGCCTGGGTTGGCCAGAGTGAACAGGACCTCAAGTCTCAAGACATCCCCTACCGAGTGGGCTCATTCCCTTTCAGCGCTAACTCCCGCGCCAAGACGAACCTGGACACCGAGGGCATGGTCAAGATGCTCGCCGACCCTGAAACGGACAGAATTCTCGGAGTCCACATCATCGGTCCCAATGCTGGCGAAATGATTGCGGAGGCCACTCTTGCTCTTGAATATGGAGCGTCCAGCGAAGACATCGCCAGAACTTGTCATGCTCACCCCACTCTGGCCGAGGCTTTCAAGGAGGCGGCTATGGCCACCTACTCCAAGCCAATCCACATGTAAGGCGGGTCACAGCGATGCAATAGTGTGAGTGGTGGAAAGCTTTGGCGTCCTGAAATAACGACATTTGAAGCATGTAATTTGTATCACCTGAGGGACAGCGAATAGAGGTTCGAAAAGGTAGTTTGTAGCATAAGCATAAGTTTTTACGCCAGCTGGAAGGTTATCATCCAGGAAAGGGACCCGCTGTTACATCGAACGCCCTAGGTATACCCTTTCGTGACCAAGGTCCTCTGACTGGGTATGTGGCACTACGAACATAGATAGAATTCTCTCTGCTGAAGCATGTTGTTTGATGATATACTCACACTGCTCGATGCCAACTATGAGATACGGTCAGCAGTACTGGAGAAAGTATACCCGAAGTCAGTCTCGGTACTTCTATCTGCTTATGACACTTCTTGTACTGCGATTAGGAAAAGAGGAAAAGCCGAAATAGAGTGGTTGAAACCGGCAGGGATGTGGCTGGAGGCCATGTGTTGCCCTACAGCTCTCTTCAGTGTCTATCAGAGAATACAGATCCTAATCACGGAGCTGCTTGGACTTTAGGCATGTTGTGTCATGCTAGATCATTGTAGTTTTCCACAGTCATGTTCAGGCTGTTCATCTACGCATCTTCGCCCACGTCTGGCTTTTCCAGTAACGCCTCCGCCACCTTGCACGCCTCCTTGACTTTTCTAGTCTCTTTCTTGCCGCCAACAAGGTCTGTAACCCGTACCTTCTTGCGCAAGAAATAGCCTACGCTCCTCGCGAGGGCTGGCGCCAACCCGCTGCCGAAGCACACTCCAAGGGCTTGCTCCAGGCTCTTGCCCTTCACGTGACTGCACTCTTGAAGTACAGTGATGAGCATTACCTCGACGAACAAGCTGGTCTTCTCCCTGACGTAAGCCAGATTGAGTGGTTTGAGGACTCCAAGACTGACAGAGCCGTCAGCAACTAAGCTTCCCATCATCTTAGCAGTATTGATAAGACGCCGGTCGTCTATCCCCTCCTCGTCTTCCTCCTCAGCCTCCTCTCCGAAAAGCGGCTCACCGAGTCTCCGAAACAGGGTCCACAAGGTATCTTGAAAGGCATGCTTGATCCGTGAATCGGTGCAGAACTTTTTGGATACCAAAGTGTAGAAAGGGTTGTAGTGTTGCTGTGCTCCTGAGCACTGGAGGAGCACGTTTGGCACCTCGCGTCTGTTGTATTTGTTGAGTCGCAGCTTCAGAATACGCATGTATGCGTCCTGACAGTCGGCAGCTGCAACAAGAGCGATAAATATGGCTCGTCGAACATCAGTGTTCATTCCTTGTTCTCTTGCCAATTGCGTGTAATCGTGAGTGGCCAGATCGTCAGCATCCGCAACCACCATATCGTCAACATCTCCTGTGGTGGTGGTTCTCTCCTTATCCTTATTTGCCTCTCGTGTATCCTGGCCTGCCCAACTGGCGCCTACCAGCCACCATTTGCCCGTCTTGTCTGCGTTCTCGATATCCTTCAGGCCGATGCGAAGGGGCTCTGATGCCTTGAGCCTTTGCGTGTCAAGAGAACCCAGGACCTTTCTCATGCGCGTCACATGCTCACCAAGAATGGCCAGATCTTGTGCACCGGCTTTGATCTTGTTGTTCTTGAGGTCACTGATGGTCTCGACCATAAACCTGGTGCGAACCGTCAGGTTGCTCTCCCCGATCTTAGCTACCGCGGGACGAATCAAACTGACGATATCTTTCAGCGCCAACGGGTCGTCCTTTCGTAGTTGAGGGCCCGATACACGAACAATACGTAGTAAGAGCTCGGCATTCAGTTCCGATAAATCGTTGAGAAGGAGCCGCACAAAGTCGAATATCAGGTTGCTACCAACGACACGGAACATGTACATCTCCGCAAGCACCGTGAGGAGATTAGACGTCTCTTTCGTGGGTATGCGGTCTTCACTGACTGCTACTATTGCTTTGTGCCTCTCATCCTGAAAACGCTCCACAGCCGTAGTAAGAAAATGCGCGGCGAAATCAATACCGATGACTTTGTAGAGGGCAGCAATGAAACCGGCGGATAGGACGAGTAGCGTATCGGGTTTGCTGGTAGGATCGCAAATTTGAGCCATGAGCAGGCTTGTCAAGATATTGTTGGTGTGGCCCCTCGGGTTGTCCTGATAGATCCTATCGATCTCACCAACAATAGATACCAAGTTTGCTTCAGTGACTCTGTTGACGGGACCCTGCAGCTTCCTTCGGATCTGAGCCTCAAGATCTGCATCGCCACCCGATCGTGCTCGCAACGATGGAGGAATGTACTTGGGGAGCTGCGAGCCAGCTGAGATTGGTGGGAGATATGGATTCTCTCTGATAGGCTTGGATTCTTGGACAGTTTCCTCATCTTCCGAGTCGAAGTCTCCCAATGAGCCCTGGTCATCAGAGTCGCCCTGATATTCCATGGAAATTCCATTGTCATCCTCGTCGTCGTCGTCATCTTCTTCGTCATCTTCTTCGTCCGATGCCCTTTCGTCTGTAAAACCCGGATCATCATCGTCTTCGTCGTCGCTTCCTGATGTAGACCGAAACTTTGCTTGGACTTGGGTCGCTTTCCTTCGTTTTGCCGCAAGCCATGCATCGGCCTCGCTCTTGACCCTGTGGCTTCCTTCATCTGATTCGTTGCCGTCGTTGAGATCGCCCAGCAAATCATCAAGTCCGTCATCCTTAAAAGCCTTAGGGATGGACTTCCGACCCTTCTTCAATCCTAGCTTGCGCTCAAGTTGCTCGATTTCGGCGTCATCTTTGGCCAGCCTTTCTTGCACAGCACGAGAAGGTTGGTTCAACACTAAAGGTTTCTGAGAGTCGTCGTCTTCGTCTTGGTATTTGCTGATATGCTCTCGCTTGCGCTTTTTCGGGGCAGAGCTGCGTGGCTCTTCCGGCTCCTCGAAAGGACGTTTGCCATCGTCACCCTTTCCGTGGGTACTGACCGGACGTTGGCTCTGTGAAAATTGGTCCCGCGACGTTGTTGTCTGTCGCTGCTTTTTTGACTGCCTGTCGGCTTTCCGTCGATCTTTTCTGTTCTGTCCTTGGCTCTTCCAACGAGGGTTCGACCTAGAGGTGGCAGATTGATCCGGCGCACCGATCTGTTTGAGCAGCTGCGTGGGTAAGGCGAGCGGCTTTGGAGGCATATCGTCGGTTGGTGAGGCGTAGAAACACGTTCTCGGAATTTGCAATAGCAATAGAACCAGGTCTTGTCGAGAAACTCTTGCGCCAATACCGACTTCAAGAAACTTTTTAGTGGGACAAAGGGTCGAATACGGATACCTGAGCACCGATTCGCCGACTCACCGATGCGCAGTCGCGCCACACCCCCTCCGTTTCTTATGGTGAGCTAAAAGGCGAAGACTTTTATTTATTTTAAAATTATATACTCTATAACGACTCTCGACCTAATATAAAACTATGATCCTAACTAAGCTTATAATTACTCTTAGTAAGTATTAAAAATTATAATACTTAAGTAATTATAATAAAAATTAAATATATATATATATAATATAATAACGTACTTATATAATAAGTAGTATATTATAACAAGCAGCGCACTTTTTATAACTTTTTAACCTTTTTTATAAATTAATTTAGTTATAATATATAAAATTAATTAAAACTATATATTACCCTTTTTTTTATTATTATTTTAAATTATTTTATAAGTTCGTACGTTATATTTAGGTTTTTTATAATTTTTATATTATTATATACATAGTTTAGTACTTTTTATATAACCCTCTTTTTGAGGGTTATTCTCTTTTTTAATATTAATATTACTCTTTTTTATTTTTAATATTTTTATTTTAATATTATTAAGTAATTTTTTAAAATATAACTAAGTCTTTTTTACTTTTTAATACTTATTTAGTATTTTTATCCTTATATAAAGCTTATAGTTTTTTATTTTAATAATAATAAGCTTATAAACTAATTTATTAATATTTTTAGTTTAGAAATTAATTATTTTATATATTAATATTAATAAGCTATTTTAATATACTTAGATTTTATTTTAAAAAAGGTAGTACTTTATATACTTTTTAATATTATAATTAATATTTTTAAGTTTTAAAAGCTTTAACTACTTAGCTATAAATTTAATAATATTAACGTTTTTAATTTAAAATTTAAATAAAAAATAACTATTTTAAGGTTAAAAAGTATAAGGCTTACTTATTTAAAACTAGTTTATATATTATTTTTATTTATTAAAATAAAAAATACTATTTTAAAAATAAAAAAAAAGTTATTTTTTATAATATATAAAATTTATATCCGTATTATTTTTTTAATTTCTTTATTATATAAGTATTTTAATAAAATAAAGTACTTAATATTAAAAAAATAAAGCTCGTATAATAAATAGAGAAGTATATAAAAAGTAATAATATTTTATTTTTTATAATATTTATTAAAATTAGTTAATTTATAATTATTATAATTATTAAAAATTAGGAAGTAATAAGAGCCCTTTATATAAATTTTTATATACTAATTAAAGTACTTTAGCTAATTTAGGCTAATATTATTTATTATTTATTTATTTTTATTTAAATAAATATACTATATAATTAAGAATTAGTTATTAATATATTAAAAAAAGAGGTAATATTTACTTTTTATAATAATATATAGAGGTAGTATTTAACTATTTATATATATACCCTAAATAATAAAAACTTATTTTTAATTATTAAATTATTTTATATAAAGTTTTTTATTATAATTAAAAATTATAATAATTTTTATATATAATAATATTCTTATTAAAAAACCCGTCTTATTAAAATTATAAATATTATTATTATATATTTTATACTTTATAATCGTATTTTATATAAAAATAAATTAATTTTATATAATAATAAGATCTTTAACTAAGGCCCTTTAATAATTAATTTAATATTAAAATTATATTTTTAATTTAAAAATATATTATATAAAGTTCTTTATTTATTATAATTTAATATATATTTTATTATATATATTTAAAAATTAATTAATTATTTTTTATATACTTTTTTATTATAAAAAGAACTTTTAATTAATTAAATTAATAACTTATTCAAAAATTACTTCCTTTTTTTATTATAATTATTTTTATTAAATTTAATTATTTTTTATTTTGTATAACGTATTTAGTATATTAATAATAAAAAGTTAATTTAAGTATTTTAAAAATAAAAATAGCTTTTTATATAAATATTTTTAAGTCTTTTTTAATAACTTAAAAAATAAAAATAATTCGGCTTTTATTTAAAGAGGATTATATATTTATATATAAAAAAAAAGTATTTTAAAAATAAAAAGAATAGAATTATAAAGATATACGCCGCTCGCTATAATATACCGCTCGCTATATAAGTACGTTAATAATATTAAAAAGTAACTACTTATAGTTTTTTCTCATAATGTAGCCATATATTAAGGATATTTAATAAATATAATAATTACTTTAACTGTCCCTCACTACTCATGGTCCTATATAATTATAGCGCGTCTAACAAAGCAGGTAAAGTAAGGTAGCTCCGAAAAGCAAACCCCACTGTCTGGGCCCCATATACCCTTGCTCCCTACACTGGCCTTGCTGCGGGGGATGACCAAGGTCGCACACAAGCACCTAGCAGCCCGCTTCACCAAACTGGCTGCGTTTGTATATCGACATCCCGTCATTCCCGTCGTCTTTGATGGAATAACCCACCGCGCGTCTGCATTATCCTACTTTCGTGGTCCCTCGTCTGTTTGCACGCGACGGTAGATACTCCGGTGACCATGTCAGCCCACCTCAGTCATGAAGAGGTACACTCTTTTCCTTACTTCGTTCCTGTCATACCCGATGTGTCCTTCTGTAAGTCAATGGCCTTGCTAACCACTCAACCGTAGTTCTTCTGCAAGTTGGCCGACCTTTTTGAGCAACGCAAGAGCAAGGGACGTGGCTCGATATTCCTCGTCCAGAAAAGATGTGTGTCCACTACTTCGCAGCCGCACCCGAGACGCCCAAAGACTCACGTTTCCTCTAGTATCCTACGGCCAAGAAACGACCTCGGCGCCACCAGCCAGCGATGAATCCTTCTCCGACCTCCACCTCGCAAACCCGCTCCCTGTGATTGTGCGCGCGACAAACGGCAAGTCGAAGAAACATAGAGACGACAAAATCAAGCTGTCTACAATCGTTCAGCCTGATGCTTTGGAATCCTTCTACGCCAGCTACGCCGACATCTGCAAAGGCGGTATGGCCGCACTCAAGCCTCGGGATCGGAGTAAAAAGAAGGCCAGGGCCAGAAAGAAGAAGGGAGGTGCAGTCACGGCCGTCGCTGCGGCGTGAGAGAAGTATGGCTTGACTTTGGCTTCCATTGCTTCACCAATACAGTCAGCTTATATGCCACCATCATTTGTCGCCCAAAAAGGCAGTGCGCCCTTTGCAATGGGGTGAAGGAGATCGAAACCGCATATCACGCACACGTCGTGGACACTTCTGGCACAGGACCTGGTGCCCATCATCTTGAGCCCGAGGGCACACATTGGCGCTTTCCCATCGTACCGCCTAAGCATCGTCGGTCTCTGCCAGAGGGCCAAAGATGACAATACGGGGCTTTATAGAAAGAGTCACAGGTGGAAAACGTGCCCTTGGTACCCATTATGGCTGAGTAGTGTCTAGCTGGTAATGCTCTATATGTCATGAAATGGTACATGAACTTCGCTACCACTATGCTGGCTACTATGTTGTGCCCGACAATTGAGACAGGAGTTTCATATGAAAAACAACCCTTCGCTAAATCCCTCGACGGTCTCCACCACACGTGCGCACTTCTCGCACTCCTCTCGTCTGGGCCTCTTCGGGTTTCCGACGTACATGCAAAGACTCTCTGGGCACTTGGATGCCTGACCTCTGCTCTCACAACTCGCTAGTCTCTTGCGTTTCTGCCACCTCGTCCCGCACCTTGGGCACCAGTAAAGATGGAGTTCGCACATATTTATAGCATTCGTGTGTGGTGGAAACAAGGAAAGGTAAAGGTGGTTCTCGTTTTCAGGTAGGGGTTGTGTTATCAATCGCGGCATTAAAGATTGGACCCAGGAATGTCTGCTCTGTTTATAAAGCTACCCAGCGGTCCGGGATCATTTAAGAACGAAGCTGCAAGTTAAAGCGAAGATGCTCTGACTGGGACATTAGACTCAGTCCCGTTTCAGCTTGTACTGAGATGCAAACTCAGGGCCACCAGCGCGGTTTCCATATTTGTACAACCTGCGATTTGCTGAAGTATTTTGCTTCGTGGGATACATGGCTTGGTTATGGTACACCCGCTGCCAGTGGGTGACGCCCACATATCCCCCAATACATCACTCCTTCACGTTGTGACGTTTAGACATATGAGGTATTCACAACAAGAAACATTGCATCCTTTTTACCCTTGCGACCCATGAGCTAGCAAAGTTGGGAGTCTCAGGCGCCGCTCATGTGCTTCTTGTAGGTATGCTGTTTAGATCGCCAAGTCACCATCTCCCAATTTTTGATGGACGGGAATTTCCGCCGTTTTGAGTTTGAGTTCTATTCGAAATTCATTCAAGGTTGAGAACCCATATTTGCTTCCTACCTCGCTAGCTGGCCTCGGAAAAGACGAGGAAGACACACGCATCCCTCACCAAGGATAACTTTTTTCTCGCAAGCCCACTGTGAGCAGAAGCTGCCGGAGTGCTTGTCCGCGATGACTGTACGACTGAGGCAGAAAGAACCCTCATAGGTAACTGATAACAACGACATTGTGTGATGAGGAGTCGATTCAGGAAGGTCGACGAGTTGTGCCCTGCAACCACTCACGGCTGAGTCCATCCCGCCTTGAAAACCCGAAATGCAACTCGAAAAGGAAATTTTGCCATTTTTGAAAGTGAATGAGACGGTAAAGGAAATGTGTGACGAGTACAATAACAATTTTGCAGGCTGTTGAATAATAGCTTGCCATGTCCAATAATCGGACTGATGCGTGGGTGAAATGACGGGGCTAGGGCCTGGTGCTTCTTGCTTCGAATGCCATGTTGCTAGGGCATCGCATCATTCGAGCCCTTTACATGATCTGATCTTGCGTCAAGCCTGCATGGACATCGGTGTCCATGCTATCACCACCGCCCTGAGCGTTGAGGTACCTGACGAAGCTCAGTCCCAATGGTCGGCCACCATATTGGTACCCCTGGAACTTGGCGATTGCAGTCTCCGCGGTTTCAGCAGAATCGAAACGAACCACACCAGTTCCGCGCGACCGACCGCTCGGCTCGTACTGAATCTCGGCCTGCTCAACCTTTCCGATAGTGGTGAACAGTTCAACAAGATCCTCGTTGCTCGTGGACCAGGGAAGCTGCCCAGTGTCAGTGTGGGTTTCTAGAGAAACGAGCAAGTGTACCTACGTTTCGCGTGTAAATGACCTCGCTGCGATCGGTTCCAGCGGTTGCGTAGTCAGTAAATGGGTTAGGAGGCACCGAAGGAGCGTTGCCAGCGTCGAAGCCGCCTGGACCACCGGGACCGCCGGGACCACCGGGGCCGGGGCCACCACCGCCAAAGCCTCCACGGCCGTAGCCGCCACCACCAAAGCCACCACGGCCGCCGCCAAAGCCGCCTCGACCGTATCCGCCGCCAAAACCGCCTCGCATACCACCGCCGAAGCCGCCTCGGCCTCCGAAGCCCATGGGGCCTCCCGCGCCAGCGAATCTGTCTTCGCGGACTTCAAGGAGACGCCCCTGCCAGTCATAACCGTTGAATTGCTGAATCGCATTGCGGGCGTCGTCGGGGTTCTCGAAAACGACAATTCCCGATCCCTTGGGACGGCCGTCAGGTCCTAGATGGACATCGGCGCGGATGACGACTCCGTTGCGAGCTAACACATTTGATAATAAGTCTCCAAGTTTCATCGCGGGGGACGCCAATAGGTTTGATCGGCAAAGAGGCTTTGAGTGTTCTACTTACCAGCCTGTCGGAACAGGTCCTTGAGGTCTTGCCAGCCCACAGTGTAGGGAAGCTGTGAGTAGTTTCAGTCAGTATCGGGTAGCGCTGGAATCCTACGCCAAGAATAGGGGGAACAAACGTTGGCAACATAGATCTGTCGGCTGCCCCCTCCAGGATTGTAGCCGCCGCCGCCGCCACCACCGCCGCCGAAACCACCGGGGTTCATTCCACCACCGCCACCACCAAAGCCGCCGCGGTTGGCAGTGGCGCCGATGAAACGAGGTTCAGCTTCGCGATCCTACAAATCCATAGTTAGACAGCATTCGACAAAGCGACAAGTGCTATTTCACAACGTACCTCTCGAACGTAGACAAGTCGACCCATGAGGTTCTGGTTGCTGAGAGTGGCCACAGCGTTCTGGGCTTGGTCCCGCGTCGCATATTCCACAATTCTGCAAGTTTGCCGTTAGCATCTGTCGCGGTTGGACCCGAGATAGCGTGTGAACTTACCCGCATCCCTACATACACCCACGGACACAAGTCCCAACCCGTCAACCCAACGATTCCATCAATAGCCAGAGGGAAGAGTCCACAAAAGAAAGAGAGAAAAAAAAACCAGCCATAGACTACGTGTAGAAGCCCACCTTCGACATTCCATTTGGAAGTAATAACACGTCGGCGAAGAGAACCTCTCCAGCTATACCACCCCGACCAGTCAGCTTGCTCAATCTCGGCCAAACTGCCAAGGGCCGCACTTACCCTGTCGCATGAAGTCCTTGAGATGATGCCACTTCACATCGTAGGAAAGGTTGCCGACATAGACGCGGCGATCCTGCTGAGACGTTTCCCTAATGTTGCTCATCATTTGCTCGCGGGCGGCTGCGCGCTCTTCATACGATCGGTGTGGCGGTGCCCCTCCGTAGCCAGTGCTAGATCCTCCAGACGGAGCGCCGGTTCCAGTCATGGGGGAACGGTCTCTCCTTCCGCGGTATTCGTCTCTACTACGGGATCGGCTCCGAGGAGAAAAAGAACGGCGTCTTGATGCGCGGTTGGGACTGCGCGAACGTCCACGTCGAGGCGATCGAGATCTCTCCCTCTGTTGTAGGTTAGCGATGAACGTCGCCATTGGCCGAAGCGTATATGGCCAGAGGAGTCTGTTGGTGTTTCGCAAGTCACTTGACGTTGGTGAGAAGTGGTTGGTAGAAAGCGTTGTTTGATGGCATTATTTTGGGTGAGGGGGTGGACTTTGGAGGCAGGGAGATGAACAAGGTAGGTAGGTAGGTAGGTATGCCTGCAAAGCAGAGAAGGTGCACCCGGAAGGCCAACCGAATCAGGTCAGGCAGGCGCTGCACCACCTCCGACACTTTTCTCTTCCCGAATGACCAGAAGGAAACAAGCAAGCGCCGGTAAATCGCATAGCCAGCGCAACTCAAGGATCTCACAGTGCAGTCGTGATGAAGTGCCTGCTAAGCTTTGCAATATTCTTCGAGACGGCGTGGCACCACTTGCAAGCAAGACGCTGGTGGGAAGGGAAACCGCGGCGGAGGCACAGACACCGGCTCGGGCGGAGAGGAACGGGGGAAACACAGGGCCAGGTACCGGCTCGACAATGATTCCGGACGGACGCTTTGAGTTTGGGACAACAGAAGGAATTGGGGTGATCTTACACTCACGGGTCGATAGGTGTCGCCGGAGTCAGCTACAAGAGATTGAGTTAGTTCGAACTGCCGGAAAGCTAGGAAATTCCCAGAGCATATGGGACAAAAAAGCAAGAGTAACACGAGGAGATGGCTAGGGAGATAGGAGGAGAGGGAGTGAGGAGGAGAGGAGGAGGAGAAGTAAGAGAAGGAGGGTACCGGGGAGGATATTTGGATACCTTACTCAAAAGGTGGGCAACAGCGAAGAGGGACGAGGGGGGTACGAGGCCAGTCGGTGGAGAAGTAGGAGTAGTAGTAGTAGGAGGAGGAGGAAGGAAATGCAGCTGGCGGACAGTACGCAAGGAAGGAATGGTATTCGTTCCGTCTTTCGTGCGCGCTCTCTCTCTCTCTTTCTCTCTCTATAGAGGAGGGGGTGGGAAAGCGAGGGGGAAGCAGAAGGGAGGGGTGGGTGGGAGAACGAGGATGTGACGGGGAGAGGGGGGGAACCATCAAGCCTATGTAAGGCAAGAAAGATATGGGCTGGGCTGAGGTAGGCCGGCGTTCTTCTCACACATGTATGTAAGGCCTAGCATGAAATTGATGGATCAACGGATGGGTGGATGATTGGGATCGAACGGTTGGGTGGATGGAGGGATGTCCGCATGTGTCCCAAGTCAGGCATGCGCGTGTACGAAGGGTGTACGAAAGGCAAGTAGGCATGAGCGAGCGTACGTATATGTCAGGTAAGGCTGGACAATACTCCGTACTGCCCGTACTTGTCCAGGACAGCGGCAGGAGGGAGTGTGTGAGGCGGGAGTAAGGTAAGGTAGGGGAGGTGACAGGAGCTGCTTGGAAGATGCTAGCTGCAGGACCTGGGGGGGTAGGAGGAGGGGGGTAGGAAACTGTTCATCACAGCAATGGACGTGGTTTCCAAGCTGGAGAGCTGTTGCGTCGTTTCGGACCAACATGAGGGGGATGGAGTCGGCCAGGGCTCCTATTCCTAGAGGAGTATGGAGACAAGAACACGCCTCCAGCTTCAACCTTGTGCCAGAACGCATCAAGTGAAGTGAACATGACGGGGTACAATTTGGATCAAGAGACGGCCCATGTAACAAAGTAAAGGCGAATATCCTGGATATTCATATAGGAGGAGGGGAAGGAAGCAAGTGAAGCCAATGCCATTTCAGCTCAGGGAAGGTACTTTGGGGCAATGAAGACACGGTGAAGTTGCGGTACGGTGGAGGATCAATCCTGGCAGTGGAAGGGGAACGCAAACTAGGGAGAGTAACCATTCAAGGATAGATGGCAAGCCGCAAGCTGCGAGCCGCACGACGACGAGCTGGTGATGGTGGTGCTGGGGGGCGGGGAGATAGCGAAGGGTAGGCAATAATCGAGGGAGGAGAAAATGAGAGATTCGATCATGACTTACCCATGGTGACGGACGACTCGGGCAATGCGAAGAGAGAGAGGGGGTGAGAGTGGTAAAGATTGGTTAACGACTTGATACAGAGTAGGTCGTGCCGTGTTGCGATGCGAGGCGTTGTTGGTTTGTTGCTGCTGTGCGTTGCCGTGATGCGATACGTTGTGAAGTGATGTGACGCGCGCGCGCGTTACTGTCCTGAAGAGATACCTGAGGTCGGGTCAGGCAAGGTCAGGTATCCGTAGATGGAGAAGGGTGTTGAGGTAATGTGGGCGGCAGGCGCAAGGCGACCAAGGTCAGGTAAGGTCAGGTCCAGGCAGGGGGAAAGGATGGATAGCGCAAAAACAAAGGACAACGGGTCCAGTCTCCCCGTGTGTGTGTGTGTTTGCGTGTGTGTGTGCGAGGTGCGCGCGTGGGTGAGAGGTGAGAGAGAGAGAGAGAGAGAGAGGGAGGGAGGCAGAGAGAGAGGTTGGGCGGGTAAGTGGTAAGGCAGTTAGCGACTGCGCGTGTCGGGTGTGGTGTAAAGGTGTGTGAGTGGGCAGTGAGTGAGGGTGAGGTGGGCGGCGAAAGCAAAACGGAACGGAGTGATTCGACACGAGCTGGGCCGGAAGAACCTCAACGACGCGGCTTTGGAAGCTGTGGCGCACGCGTGGGGGCGGCGTCACTAGTCCCTTGGATGCTTGGGTGCTGCTTGGATCCAGACGATATTTATTGTTGGCGACTGGAGCTGAGGAAAGGCAAGTGGATGCTTGCTTACCTGAGGTGAGCTACAGCCTATCTTACCTGACCTTGAGCTAAGGTAGTAAGGAAGGTCGGTAAGAAAGTAAGGTATGCTAGCTACCTGGGTAAAGCAAGGGAAACCTCGGTCAGCATTCGAGCTTCAAGGTAAGGTACCTAAGGAAGGTAGTTTGTCCAAGGCTGAAGATGGCAACTGACAGAGGTGAGGTGGGTTTGCTGAGGAAGGTGTGACGATGCCAATGGAAGGGTGGAAAGTGCCCAATTGTATGGAGCACTGGATCGATGGATGGGGAACTTTTTGGCGAAGGGAAGTAAGGTACAGAGGCACGAAGGATGTTGTGCCTTTCTGGTCTGCAACAACAACAAAAAAAAAAGATAGAAAGAAGAAAATGAGGAAGCGAAATGCACGGTACCTTAGACACGGTACACCCACCGTACGGGGCACCTTACGATTGGGGAAACATAAGGTAACTAACTGAGCGAGGGCGGCGAGGCCACCTCTCATGGCGACTGCAGCCAATTAGAAGCTAGAAGCTCAAGAGGGAAGCCTTGTATGTAGAGCGCCAGGCGCCATCAGGCATTCGTCAAGGTGGTCGTCAAGGTGGTCGTCAAGCTCAATACCTTCCTTGCCTTGCCATACCAAGACCTAAGGCACCTTAGAAGGCCAGATACCTACCTTACCTACCATTGGCATGGAAGATACCTAGAAGATGGTACAAGCAGGCAGGCAAGCAGGCAGGCAAGCAAGCAGGTGAGAGAGTATGGCGACTGCCTTACACAGCAAGGTAAGGTAGGTATCAGATCTCATGATTCTCGCCTGTCCCGCCTAAGGTAGGTAAGGTACCTGTAGATACGAAGAAGGTACACCACGCATTGCTTACCTTGTTAGGTGCTCAGGTACTTTGGGGTAAGGTGCATCACGCATTACCTAAGGTAGGTATCTAAGTAGATATCTAAGGTAAGGTAAGTGCCTCGTCGTCAAGACGGGATAATCAAGGTACCTTGCCTAAATTTCTTGGAGTTCCATTACTCACTTTGGATTCGACGTTGCGCCCGTAGCTCCCATCCTGATCCGTGCATAACCCGACGACTCTCCCGCTGAACGAGCTTCTTCACGTTCATTGGCCATTGGTAAGCTGTGCTTGTGGAGAAGAGCTGCAGGTAATCATGTAATTAATGTGAACACTCAACACCTAGGCACAGCAGACGGCGGAGCTCCAGCACCCTCGAATGACGAATCATGTTGGTGGAGAGAATGGTTCAATTCGTTACGAATACTGCCTAGGTGCCGGGAATGCATCATGCTCTTCACTTTGGCAGCTTTGCTGCAGCTTCCGCCTACCTACCTTACCTACATACATAGTAGGGACCTAAGGTAGGCACGGCAAGGTCACATCTACTGACACGCTAAGGTAGGGAGTAAGTACATCAGCATTGGCACACACGCCCCTCCACCCCTCCATGAGTACCTACCTACTATTACCTTACACCAACACACAGTAGCAGTTAGTGACCTAAGGTAGGTCTGACCGTCCCGAATGGCGGTAGAAATGGATATTTCCTGATACTCGACATGAAAACCACTATTGTTAAGGCACCTGATTACAGTACAGGTAGTATCCATCTATCCGTAAGGTAAGGTACCTTACCTTACCTTACAGATGCCAAAAAAGATGGAAGGTACGGATGTGCCTAATAGGTGAGGTAGGTAGGTTGGTACCTTAGGGTAAGTGCCTGCTTGCCTGCCTCCCCACTCTGTCCACCAAGGTGTCACATCCCCGGTACTATCCTCCCTGTCCATGTCCAGTCGTAACCTTGAGGGCCATCACGGTGGCTCTGCTGAAAGCCGTGTCCAGTCTTCCACAACGGTTTGAATCATGACACCAAGTAACAATTACGGTCCGTCGGGAGTCCTTGACAAAAGCCGGCGGGAGGTCCCTGGCCCGAATGTGGATCGAAAAGCAAGCCTAACTGCCCGTGCAGCACTGCAGCTCTCAACCACTGATGGACGTCCCATCAGCTCGCCGGCGACTAGTGTACCTTGGTACCTCAACCGTTCCCCTGTCTTTCCCATCCGGACACTATCACTATCGATGCATTTCCTCGGCCCGTCCATGTCGTGCCCTGGGCTGTTATCACATAGTACATTACCTCTACGTCCATGGTGTT